CGGCCCGCCCCTCCCCCGCGCCGGCGGCACGCGCCCCCTCCCCCCGCCCCCGGGCTCAGCTGCTCGGCGCGCGCTGGGGAGGCGGAGGGGGTGGCAGAAGGAAAGGCTGAGGAAGGGAAGACCGAGGGGCAGCGAAGCGGGAGGGGAGGTTGCGAGGAACGCTGCCGCCGCCGCCGCCGCCGCTGAGTTTTCAGCCGCCCTGTTGCTGCTGCTGCTGCTGCCGCTGCCGCCGCCGGCCGGGCAGCGCCTCACGGGGCCGGCTGCGCTCCGCTGTCGCTGCGACGCTCGCTGCTGCTGCTGCCGGCGGCCGCTCTCTGCAGCCGCGCTCCATGTCCCTCGGCTCGGCGGCAGCCCCAGCAGCGGCGGCGGCGGCGGCTGCTGCAGGCGCCGAGGCGGCGGCTCCACATCGCGCGCCGCGCAGCCCGGCGAGCTCCTTCCTGCCTCCCTCAGCTCCTCCCGCTCACCGGGCCGGCCGCACCCCGCCCCGGGCTTCCGGCCGCGCCCCCTCTCCCCGCCCCTTGCCGGCGCCTGACGCGCGCGGGCACCTGTTCGCCGCGCCCGCGCGGGATTCGCCGGCTCGCGGGTCTCCTCAGCGGCGCCCAGGTGGCGCCGGCGGCCTTAACCCCTGCGCTGCCTCAAGCCCGGGGATGGCCGCGCGCGCCGCCTGGGGAGGCGGCTGGCGCATCCCTAACGGTCGGGCGGTTCCCCAGCGCGGCCACGCCCCCCGGCCTTGCGCCCTCGGTCGGGTGTGGGCCCGCCCCCAGCATGATCACCTCGGGGTGTGGCCTCACTCTCACCTCGGAGCACGGCCCCGCCCCCGCCCTCCTTCTCACCTCGATGCGCGGCCCCCCATCCGGGCTCGCGCCCACTCGTGGGCTGGGGCGTTTCTCCGAGTCTTGTGGGGATCAGTTTTCTCGCGCCTTAGGTGGTCTCCAAGAGGACTGGGAACGTTCTTCCAAGGCCGAGCCCTGACAGAGACTCGTGGGCACGGATTTTTGGTCTGGGCCCCCGCCAGAGCTAAGCAGACTGGAGAGGGAGCCCTAGAGAGCAGGAGGGGGAGAGATGACTTCAGAAACCCGGCATTTTAATGATGATGACTCAGGGATACGAGGGACCAGATGCCTTCGAGATCAACAGCCCCGAAAGAAAGGGTTATGTTAAGAAATAACTGAAAAAACTGCTCACAGATGGGAACATGAAGCAAAGAATTGCCGTGATAATGACTTCTGTGTATTAGGTCTTAGTATGTGCCGTGGCTTGTGCTGAGTGCTTTGTGCGCATTATCTTAGATAATCCTAACAAGAACCTGTCAAGTAAGTGCCGTCGCTTTTTCCATTTTACCGGAAGGAAATTGAGGCCACGAGAGGTGGAGTTATCGGCCCAAGTCATCACATCCAGGCAGGCTGACTCCAGGGTTCCCGTAAACCATTATTCTTTACTTTCCTCGCGCGTGAGAAGTCTCGAGGAAGAGAAATGCTAATCTGTAACCAAGATGGCTGGGTGGATATAGAAGGTGGTATCAGGAAGCTTCCTGCAAAGATCAAAACAAGAATTGAAAGCCTACTGGGAGACTCCAGGCAGTTCTTGCTCTGACCTCACTGGTGATGCTCTGTCTCCTATTTTCAGAAACAATCCCATCTGAAGCTAGAATTGGTCCCTATTCTTTTCTTTTCCTCTTGAAAACCCATTTTTGAGTTAGATCATACCCTGATTATTTTCATCACAGCGAGGTGGAAATTTCAGGACACCAAGAGGCTGAAATTGGTCAAATGGCTTCTGGTTTGTATTCTTTATTAAATTCAGAACCTATCAATATTCTGGTGTAGACATGAGACTGAACCTCAGGTCTGGTTTTGTTTGCTTGTTGATTGGAAAGGAGACAGACAAGGAAGGGATTCCCTCGTCTATCTAAAAGCTAAATTTAGGAGGTTGATCATGGTACTGTTCCAGCAGCAATGGATTGTTCTAACATCTTTTATTATGCCCCTTGAGCAGAAATTGTGGGCCCATGGTGAGATCCAACTGCAACTCCCTTTGGTCTTTTTTGGTCACAAAAGGACAAATTTCTCCCTAACCTACTTTATAGAGAAACAAATATCAAGAGCAAACGGGATTCCCAATCAAAAAGAGTTTCAGAGAGGGAAAAATCTTTCCAATGTCTTTAATGAAGCATATAAGTTTAATATCCACACAGATAGTACTATTATGTAGGCACATAGATGTACAAAAAAGGGGGGATCAGCTCTTTGTTTTTCCTTGATGCAGACTTGGCAGCCTGTCTTTCCTGAAAGTTCTTTGAATTACCTTTCTTGAACTCAATGGCTCTACTCTATTAGACTTACCTGTTACTGTGAGAATGAACTACAATTAACTCTAGCTCCTGAAGATTCTTCTAAACAATGTTCGCCCACCTAAACAGACTAGGAGGTGATAATTTCCTATTGTAGATTTGCCCTAAGCCCTATCTTTCTGTAAACAGTCAAAGGAGAACAGCTCAGGTTTGGAGAACTATTTAGAATCGTGGTTGTTACAGTTTTTTGTCTCACAACCTCTTTACACTCTTAAAAATTACTGAAGATCTCAAAAACCTTTGTGTAGGTTTAGATATTTATATTTACTTCCACAGTAAAAATTAAAACTGAGAACATTTAAAAACATTAATTCATGGGGCACCTGGGTGGCTCAGTAGGTTAAGTATCTGGCTCTTGATCTCAGCTCAGGTCTTGGTTGTGAGTTCAAGCCCCATGTTGGGCTCCACGCTGGGCATGGAGCCTACTTCAAATAAATAAATAAATAAATAAATATACTTAGAATAAATTTGTTACATGTTAATATAGTGTATTTTATGAAAAAAATATATTCCCAAATAAAAAATGAGTGAGAAGAATGCCAGTATTTTTCATTTTTACAAATATCTTTAATGTTTGGCTTAGTAATAAAAAACTGGATTTTTATATCTGCTTCTCCTTTGATATAGTGATATTTTGTTTAAATTGAAATATACAAAGGTGGGACGACTGGGTGGCTCAGTCGGTTAAGCATCTGCCTTCAGCTCAGGTCATGATCCCAGGGTACTGGGATCAAGCCCCACATCAGGCTCATTAGGGAGCTTGCTTCTCCCGCTGCCCCTCCCCCTGCTAATGCGCATGTGCTCTCTCTCTCTCTCTCAAATAAGTAAGTAAAATCTTAAAAAAAAAAAAGGAATATACAAAGGAAATCTGGTCTCACAAAGATGTAGTTGAGAAAAGAAGGAATGTTTTAATAGCCTTTACAGATCTCTGTGAATTTTTCTCTTTGATATTACATCAAAACTCGGCAAGTAATAGCTTCTTAAAGGTTAGTTGCCATGTGCAATCTAAAACCTTATCAAGGAGGGCGCCTGGGTCGCTCAGTTGGTTAAGCGACTGCCTTCGGATCAGGTCATGATCCCAGAGTCCTGGAATCGAGTCCCACCTCAGGCTCCCAGCTCAGTGGGGAGCCTGCTTCTCCCTCTGACTCTCTCCCCTCTCATGCTGTTTCTCGCTCGCTCTCTAATAAATAAATAAAATCTTTAAAAAAATAAATACAACCTTATCAAGGAAATGCATTAATTTATATTTCATTTTGAGTGTATCTTTTAGCCATGTATGATTGATTCTGTAACAACACATATTGGTCATTTGGAAAATGTCGGTTCACTAAGCTATACAGATCTTCCAAATATTGTGACATGTCATTATAGTATATTTAAAAAAATCGCAGTTATTAATATCATCACTGATCTCATCAGAAAAGTCTTCAAGTATTGGCAAGCTATCAAGCTCACTGAGATGGATGTGAGTTTTTCAGAATTCTAATTTCCACTGAAAAGCTCCAATCTTATCCTTGGTACAATATTGTCAATTATTTTCCTTGAAGTAACAGACTTGCTTCATTAATTTTTGAGAAAATATCACCAGATACACAAATCTGAATACCATAGTTTGTCAGTCATTCATTCATTCAAGTAAGGCAGGTGTTTCATGACAAATATGGCTAGTTCAGCTCATAACTCAAATCGTGGTACAAGTGCTTTATCTTAAGGCAAACATTGTACTTGGGTATACAGCTGAGTGCTTTATGGGTACTTCCCATTTCATTACATGGACTATTAAGAAAATATGTACGTGCTTGCTTTGGTAGCACATATACTAAAAAAGAGTTATACTCAAGGAATAAGGATTTAATAAAAGTACTGCTTCATCAGGGACATTCCTAAGTGAAACTAGTTTGTTTTTTTTTTTCCCCTGTGAGCACATGCTAGTGAAGAATAACAGTTAACTTTGGTACCACTGTCTTGATTCATGCTAAGGTATCATTAGTGTTATCCACCAATGTTTTCACACCATCAGTGCAAATGTCAATGCAGTGAAAAATGAAGATAGTTATTAGACAATTAGTATTATTAAGAAATTAGTTTTGCTATTAATTAATAAAGTTAGAATTACTAGAATTGCAATTATTATGAAAAGAGTGTTTATTTCACAGATTATCTGAAAGGGTCTTCGGGACCTTCTGGAGTTAGTGAATCACACACTCGGAACTGTTGGTTTAGAGCCATTCAAGACCCTCAGGTCGGCCTTGACCTGGAAGAATGAACAAGGACCTTGCCTACATGGAAATTAGTGCCAGGAATCAAAACTCATCAAAGCAAAGTTATGAAAACCCTCAAGCTTCTCAGAAGCTTATTGTTTAGTTTATTCTGCTCCATACTAGATATGATAATATCCAAAATATATTTAGCATTGCATTCCTGACATTCTTTATATGACATCTGATTTAATCCTCATAATAACTCCATAATGCTAGTATGGAACACCAATATATACTACTACATGATACTGTGGTGCAGTGGTTTAGGCCC